AAATGTGGAACCTTGTGCTATCACTTCCACCACCTAAAAGGCCTTTTCCCCATGTCCAAGACCCTAGCCAGTCATTTGAACCTGTGTCTAAGACCTCCGGATTAGTTAGTGGTGACACCCCTTATGTGAACTCTAGCATTTAGAGGCTGCATTCATGGTGAAGAGACGTTAGGGATTGAGAGAATAAGCATGAGCATTTTTCGCATCAAATTGTCCTGACCCCACTGGTCGAGAGTGAGCGATTCATTTTCTCATATTCTCTATACTCTTTACCCCAGTGAGGACCTAGATTGCTCGGTCTTAATTCTGATATCTTGAGCTTTGTGCATGAAGTGACTGTTTTGAACAAGTGGTTGAGTCAAGTCTATGTTGGTTGGTGAATAGAAGGGGACTCTTCCTTTGCTCGACTTTATTGCATTCGAATGTCATCTGTGGTGGTTGTCTAGGTTGTCGTTCGAGTTGCCATGTGTTGATGATTGAAAGCCAGTATGATCCACGTGTTTTGTGCCGATATGATTTGCCCTAAAGCCTGCTTGATTGAAATGTTTTGAGCTTACCTGGTGTCTGACTTGGTTTGCTTAGGGACAAGCAAACGGTTAAGTGTGGGGGAGTTTGATAACGATGTAATTGCATGATTTTATACCCCTATTTCTTATCCATTTGCGGGGCATAGTTGTGTGTTTTGGCCTATTTTACGCCGGGTTGTGCTACTTTGTCCTATTTTAGGTCCCAGGCGTCGAAGGGAAGGCCAAGCGCGAGTTTCGGAGCATTTGGAAGTCGTTTGGTCGAGCCAGGACCAAAACACGGGCAGGAGGCCTCAGGAACACGGCCGTGTTCCTGGCCGTGCTTTTACTGCCGAGGCTTCTCCACCATAGAACAAGCCCGTGTTTTCCCCAGACCGTGCCCGTGTATTTACCACGTGGCAGAGGGCACGGGCGGGCTGGATCAGAACACGGCCGTGTCCTCGACCGTGTTCTGGCCAGTGATGCCCTTTTAGGCAGATTTCAGCCAAAAAGAGAGGGGATTCGAGTTTTAGAGAGACAGAGCGATTCCTAGAGAGAGAAAGCGACGAACAAGAGTCTCCAAGTGCCCTAGCTTGATCTTCATCACCATTGGAGCTTGGCTTGAGCTTGGAGGAGTGCCGATCAACGTCCAGGAGCTGAAATCCATCCTTCACAGTATGGTTTCCACATCTGATTCTGCTTTTGCTTCTTTCTCCATGGAGTAGTTCTCCCATTCATCTGGGTATGGGAAACCCTAGATCTGTATGTTAGGGTTGATTGTATGAATTCAAGTACTGTTTCTATGATTTGATTATATTCGATTGAGGTTTGAATGATTGAATGACATGAATCCTGATCAAATTCCTGTTGTTTCTGCTTTAACCTAGAATGAGAATATCTGCCTAGGTTGATAGAGTATCCTTAATTGAAGGTAGTGAATTGGTGACTTTAGTCGAGGAGCCAATTCGCTATTCTGTACCGAATTCAATTCGGTAGTGGAGGTTTGGTTCGTTAGGGCCTCAATCTGTTTACTCCGGTGGAGGTTAGTCGCCCGCTAGAGACTCAGATTGAGAGGGTCTGAAGACCTTTAGTCGAGACTTCAGACTGTTTAAGAACCTTCCGCAGTATAACTATCATAAAAATTGAACTTGGTAATTACAATCCGGCTTAACTGCAGTCTAGGGGGAACCATATTCGGGTGACCTCTCTTAACCTGAAAACAACCGTTTAGTTGCTTTGCTTGCTTGTTAGTTTAGACCTTCACTAAAGTTTCATTGCTAGATAATACGAATTCACTGAGTAGTCATCATATCTAGGACCCGGGTTGACATTAAAACCTAAACCCGCTATACTACGCTTTAGGAAGTGGTTTCACTTGGCCATTTTCTAGAGTGACAGTAGGAGTGAGTCAATGATCTCCCAACGGGTGATGAATTCAGAATTATTATTATCTAAAAATTTTGTTATCCTGATCAAACACACAAAAAATATAACGACCCTCCTATTAATCAAAACTTGGATAATAGATAGCAAAAATAATATATAGAAAAGAAGTAGAATGCCTACACCATTAAAAAAATAACAAATAATAAAAGAAAAACACAAACAATGAAACGACACCGCCCACCGCCCAACGGGCAGGCACAAAACTAGTAATATATAGTATAGATTATTGATTGTGTTCACCCATCTTCCTCTGTGGTATCATCAAGCTCATAAATGCTGCTACCGCTACGTGCTCCAAATGGTTGTGAATTGTGATCTATCTAGTTAGAAATGACGACCCAAATGTAGTGTAGAGGAGGGTAATAGCAGATAGGCATTCCCCCATTTTCGCCGTGCGCAACTTGCTCATTGGTACAGGCTGTTAATGAGTCGAGTCGATCTTTGCTTTGTTTATGTTCGGCTCGTTTATAAACGAGTCGAGTCGAATCGAGTATGAACCAACTTATTTATTAATCTTAACACATCATTAAGATCGAAAGTTCTGCTCGAGCTAAACTCTAAGATAATTTTTAATATAAATACCCTAATATTTATATGTCATATGTGATACATGTGATTACCTAATCTTATGTCATATATGAAACATATTTGCTTACATATACTAAATGTAATAAACATCATATGAGGTGATATATAAATTTAATAATTAAATTCATCATTAAAAAACCAACTCATTAAATATAAATGGATTTTCTCATATGTTGTAGTTAAGTTGGCTATCTAGTCACAATGTTGGGATATCTCATAAGTTCAAAACGAGACAATTCATGAGTTGTATTCAACGAGCCACCTAATCGAGCTAGTTCACGAGCCGAACAAGGTAGAGCTCTTTCTTTTTTAATCAAACGAGCTTTTATAAAGTTCAATACCGAGCAATAAACGAGCCGAACTTTTTTTTAATCGAACGAGGTTTTATCAAGTTCAATACCGAGCAATAAACAAATCAAGTTTTTTTTTTTAATAAAACGAGTTTTTATCAAGTTCAATACCGAACCGCTCACGAATAACTCGACTCATTAACAGCTCTAATACACACATACGTGCTGCTTTCTTTCTCACAAACTGCCAATCTTCTTTCTTTCTCTCTTTGTCATTACAGTTGTATATTCTTCCGTCTGCACCCTCCACCTCCGCACCGTCATCACCCGCAAAACACTGAATCCAAGCCAACTGTTATTCACAATGCAAGTCTCTCCTTCGCTTTCTTCAAGCCAACTGTTATAGGTTCCAAAAACAGTCTCCCTTCGCGTTCCCGTTACGCCTGGCCAATTTCACCAATATTTTATTTGTTTGTTGTTTTTTTTTTTTTTAAGTTGACGGTAAAGTGTAAAAGTTTAGAAAATTGAACTCTTTTCTTTCCTTCATTGAACGTTGAGAATTCAACCCTCCGTGTCAGGAAATATTAATGTAGGCCCTGAAAAGAAAATTCATGTTTGAATGGCAAAATGACAGTAATTGCATGATTATGAAAGATTGAAAGGGGCAAATGCTATTATGGTGTTCACAGCTTCTTGTGAATACATTGGTTGGGCGTCATTGAATCCGACACTAAACATTCATAGCTCTAAAATGGACACGGTAACATTTCATCTATCAGATTATGATCGCATTCGTTTAACTGTCAGTGCCAACTTACGGCCTCTGTAAACACGCAGTCACAAATTACATACTCTCAGTAAAATTGCGAAAGGGTGCCGAAGATGATGATAATTGGTAACGGCTAGTTGAAATGATGATTTGATCCATCTATTATTCAACTTATCATTAAAGACAAAAAGACAGGTTGTTTGAGCCGACGTGGCACTGCTAAGCACATGCATTGATGCACACAAATCACAATCGCCGCCCGCCACCATCCTACTGCGGGCCCCGGCCCAGCTACTGGCCCGTGTTTGATTCCCCAAAAAGCCAAATTCACCGCTAAAACCTATGGGTGAACACACCCGGAAACCGATCCACCCGTCCAACCCGACCCAATCCACCCGTATTTATCGCTAAAAGGGATGGGATTAGGTGCTAACCCTTATAAGGGTTAGCACCGTGATAACTAGCAAAAAACGCTACTAAAAACAACGAAATCACTACGGATTATTATAAAATCAATACAACATCTAAGCTAAATCACTACTAATTCAAACTAGTAGTAGTTTTTCCCTTGGTTAAGACGATGCTAACTATTGTACAATTAGCACCGTAACTCCTCCCTCGCTAAAACGAAGGTTTTGGGTTGGGTGAGGGTTTTCTTTTGTACAACCCGCCTCTTTTGGGTTGGGTTTGGATTTTGGATTACACAACCCGTAGAACCCGACCCAACCCGTGTTCCAACTATTGGTATGAGTTCGAATCTAAAAAATATTTATGTACTATATAGTCATATACTTATGAGAAAATTAAGATATTTCACCATGTTTTTCTCTCATGGTCTCCCTAATCTAATGCATTCTTCGACTTAAAGTTTAGACATAAATTGAATATAGTTATGATTCACGTAATCCTTTTTCTTGTGTACAATTTTAATAGAATAACATATGATGGATGTGATTGTTTATAACATTTTTAGCCTATTTCAACAAATATCGTGAAAAAACAAGACATATGTTGAAGTAAATTACATTTTATTAAAATTTAAACAACATTTGTGAATTTTCATACCTTTCACCTTGGTTCATTCGTTTGAAATTTTAATTACTTATAAAATATTTTTATGATGTAGAATAATTATATATTTTATGTTGGGTTGGGTTTTTACTTAAAAATATCGCCAACCCGACCCAACCCAATTAGAAACAAATCGTAGGGTTTAAATATTTTTGGGTGGGTTTGGGTTTGATATTTCCCAAACCGTAGTGCATGGATCAGGTGATTAAAATGACTAAACCCGAACCACCGACGATATCAGTTAGTATCTGCTAACGAATCTTCAAGTTAGCAGATTAACTTTTCCCTACTAAAACCCCACAGTCTCATCCAACGGCTGTCCTGCGGGCCCCACATCTCCTCTCATCCCCAAAATCAACGATCCAGATCGATCAGACATCCGTCCGTTGCAAATGATGTTCTCTCTCTCCTATAAATCACACTCTCCTCGGCTCTTCCCCTTCCCCTTCCACACCACGCTCACCACTCTTTCACATCTCTCTCTAATCTCTCGACTACTTCTGCTCTCTATAATTCGCCAGAGAAAAAAAAAAATGGAGGGCAAGAGTATGACGCTTGTTCTCGCACTGGTCTGCGTGATTGTCGCCGGCGTCGGCGGCCAAGCTCCGGCAGCCGCACCGACAACCACCACCACTCCAGCCACCCCCGCTGCTCCCGTAACAGCACCGTCCACCGCCCCTGCGGCTACCAAGCCTGCATCGCCAGCTCCCGCTTCTTCTCCCTCCGCACCTCCAACCGCAGCACCGGTCGCTACTCCGCCAGCAGCAGCGGTGACTCCAGTCAGCTCTCCTCCAGCTGCAGTTCCAGTCAGTTCTCCTCCGCCTGCAGCGGCTACTGCTCCTCCTACGCCTGCTCCCGTCGCCGCCGCCGCTACGCCTACCGCCTCTCCTCCCGCTGCTGATGTTCCGGCGCCGGCTCCCAGCAAGAAGTCGAAGAAGAAGAGCGGATCTCCGGCTCCCTCTCCTTCATTGTCGAGCCCTCCCGCTCCACCGGTCGGGGCTCCCGGACCTAGCGCCGAAGCTAACGCCCCCGGTCCCGTCGTTGCCGATGAGGTAAGCCGTTCGAATTTTTGATTGCGTGCTCAGATCTGGAAATAGAAATAGTAGGTAGTGCGGAATTCGCCGGGGAGTACCTCAGTCTTTAACGAGAGATCAGATCTAGTGTGTTTATAGATAGAGATTAGGGAAATCTCTGTGTTTGTAGTGATAGATTCGTGGAGATCTGACTGAAACCTCTTGAATTATGACCCAATGATCAATTGTTTCCCCTGAAAATGAGCGAATTGCAGTGTTCTTGATCTATTATGTGTGTGTGTTTATGCAGAGTGGTGCAGAGAGCTCGAGGAGTGTGCAGAAGATGATGATGGGAGGATTGGCCGCACTTGTTATGGCGGCCGTTGCATTTTAGAGAGGATGGAGCTGCGGCGATGGTTGTTCGATTCACATATTTGATTCATTTCCATGGTTCAATACATTCATTTCGGACTCACTTTGCTGGCAATTTGATTTGTTTGTTGCAATTCTTTTTGAGCTTTGATTCGAGGCGGGGGAGGGTAAAACCGGTTGTATTTATGTAGATTCGAATTCCTTTCTTTGTCGGTCGCCACATTCTTTTGTAATTTGGACGCCTTTTGCTTCTATATCTACATCACATTATTATTAATTAATATTTGTTGATTGTGTTCACCCATCTTCCTCTGTGCTATCACAAGCTCAGAAATCCTCCTAGTACTCCAAATGGTTGGTAAAAGCCTTTTTGAGCTAAAGACACGAATTATCATCCACAAACATTGACGACACACTGAAATCCTATAATATGGAGTAACAAAATGATAGAGGTCCAAGTGAACGCTTTTCACAGGCATAATCATGATTGTGTTGCAAGACAAGTGTATTTCGAGAAACTTTTCCGCATGTGTACTCACATCTTCCCGTCACTACAGGAATTGAGGTCGTTTGTGCATTGTCTCCTTTTCCAATATCGGCTGACATTCCATTTTCTAATCCGGATACATCATCTCTTCGACTGAACAAAGTCACCTTATGCAAGTCGAACATGCCTTCTAATAAACGCGTGCCATCAGTTATCTTTTTTGTGAGATGTAGAATCCAACATTTAGTATTTGGTTTTGTTCCGCGAACCAACCATGTTACTCTCCGAAAAAGGTATGCAATACTAGAACTGGTAATGACATTGCACGAAGACCAACATGCACACCACTCTAACTATGTAGCTTTCTATTTCTTTCTTTGTCAGTCGCCCCATTCCTTTGAATCATTGTAATCTGTACACCTATTGCTTATCTCTCTACATTAGGTTATCAATTAATATATTTGTTGATTGTCTTCACTTGTGCTATCACAAGCTCAAAAATACTGCTATACGTTCTCCCAATGCAGTCAAAATCGAGATTTACGTAAAATCGAAATTGTAGATTAAAATTGTAAAATCGTAACATTTTAGGATTCATATGAAAATTATCACTTAAAACATCAGGCAACAATTATAATGCATATCCTAATTAACAACCAACCCCATATAACTTAAATGATTCTCAAGATAAGTGTGTCTCCTTAATAAACACAAAAAAGCCATAGATTTGCTCTTGTTACATATGATAAACAAAAAAATACGCAACTTGAAACCTCATAGAAATAACTTAATCTAGTTAATAGAAAAAATCACATAAGATCGTTATGATCAACATTAACATCTAAATCATCAACATCGTCATCGTCACCCACACCCTCACCCTCACCCTCGTATAATCTTTGTCTTTTTGCTTGAGCAATAATATCATTATTCTCAAGATCACTTCAAATACTTCAACACCAACCATATTTCCTTGATCGCCATCATCCTGCAAAGGTAACTAATTGATTGATGCATTCCCTTCTTGATTGAGAGAAGGTCAGGGATGGTGGCATTAAAGGTTTGAGAGACAAACAAAAGTTTGCAAGGGATGGGGATTGAGCTAATTGCAAGGGTGGGATGGAGGCACTAAAAGTTTGAGAGACGAACAAAAGCTTGCAAGGGGATGGGGATTGGGATAATTGCGAGGGTGAAGGGGTAACAAACAAACGAGTTAATTGAGAGGGTGATGGAGGAAATCGTTGATGAAAGGAGTTGGGTGTCTTCTTGCGGAAGAAACAGAGAATGATAGTAAATTGAGGGTTGCATACATGTCAGGGGAAGTGAACTTGAGGGTTGCATATTAGGGTAGGGTTGTGTTGTCCATGTGTTGTGTCGGGGGAAGTGAAATTGACCCGGTTCATTGGCAAAACCCGACCCGACCAACTTGATTTTGCTCCAATTGATGTGAACCTTAAAATCAAATAAAATCGTAGATTTTAAGAACTTTAAAGTTTTAAATTGGGATTTTATATGATTTTAAGGTTCAAAGATTTAGTAATAAAATCATGATCGAAACACATAGGTAAGATCGTAAAATCGTAAAATTTAAGATTAGAATCGAAATTTTAACTACATTGCGTGCTACAAATAGTTGTGATCTATCTAGTTCAAAATGAAGACCCAGATGGATTGTGGAGAAGGAGGACGAAGGTAATAGCCGATAGGCACTCGATTATTTTTTCATTCAAAGGGCTCGGTAGAATGGCATCTGAGTTGGTGACTTGGTGTCACCCGTTCGATTGTCAGTTTGTCACTAATTCAAGCTATATATATGATCCATTACCTTGGTTCTTATATTTTTATTTTAATAAAAATTTGATTACAACACCTAGTTTGGTAGTTCCATATAATTTTGATTATCAGTTTGAACTTTTCATTTAGAGGGTTATCAAGTGTCCTGGAAAATTGTTAAACGCCTTCTAAACATTGACGGAGTCAGAATATGGTGTTCGAGGCCGATGTTTTTTACTATGTTACCGCCTTATCACAAAGAAGTAGTAAAATTAATTAAAATAAGAAAAAACTATTTGCTTGGTTAAAAAAAACTATTTGCACATCCCGAGTTTGAACAATGAGACCAATAATCTTAAAGAAAGTATTTTTAAGATTATGATAACTACATCTTAAAGATGATTTTTTTAACATAAGATAGTCATATTGATTGATAAGAAGATATCGAACTACATCCTGGATCCAACCTAGACACGAAAATTATACAAGCGACACGCAGTCGGAGACAAAGAAAGGGCCTTCCTAGCCACTGAATGGGCTACCCCATTGCTAATCCGACCTAAGAACCGAATACTAAAACCACTACTCAGCGCCATCAAATGAAGAATCTCTTGGATAATAGTCCCGACACGACTGTCTTGCACATCTTTAGCATTAATCTTATCAATAAACACATTCGCATCACCTTCAAAACGAACTTGAGGGATGTCGAGACTCTGACACCACTGAATAGCTTCACATAGGACAATAGTCTCCACCACAAGAGGATCAACAACATTTTGAAACACCATACCTCTTGATAAAAGCACAACACTTCCTCCATCCTTTATGATCAATCATCCTGCTGAATGTGAGTAAGCACGAACCTAGGGCTGGAAAACGGTGTGGTCTGGTCCAGACCAAACCATATATATGGTCTATGGTCCAGACCGAGAGGCTAAAGTATAGACCACAGACCAGACCACAGACTATACGGTCCGGTCCAGACCACGCCTGTGCGGTCTGGTTCGGTCTGGTCTGGTCCAGATAGATCACACTCAATGAAAAATGAATAATTTGTTTAGTCAACCACACAAAAAGTTGAACCAATAACCAGGAAAAATAATTGTTATTTGCCTTAAATCATTAATCCTAACATGCACGAATAATTTTGATACTCTAAATCTTAGTACATAACAAAGATACAAAGTAAAAGCATCCCTACTTGCACCATAATGTCATAAACATTAACATAATGTCATATGGAGACACGATTATCTCTACTCTCTGGTTAAATGTGGTTGTGAATGAAGGAGGGACGAGATTCACAAAACTAAGGTTGAAACTTGGGTGTCATTGTGGGAGTTGAGAGAGTGGTCGAATGGACTGTTAACATGTATTGACAAGTCAGTTGGGTCCACGGTTTGGTCTGGTAAACCGCGGTCTAGACCAGACCAGACCAAGAGATCAAAACATAAAATAAAACAGACCATGGACTAGACCAGACCATACTTAACGGTCTAACGGTCTGGTTTATTTTCCTAGCCCTACACGAACCGCCCCATCCCACATACAAACGACATAAGTTAAATCCACCTCCTCCATATTATGTTGCACAGGATGCCTATCCAGGAACAGCCTATCCTCTGGCAAGACACACATTCATGGAGTTGCTGATGGTACTGACGCATCAGATGAGGAACTAAGAACAGCTTACCCTCAAAAGCGGCCCAATTCCTAGATTTCCAAATCCGCCATAGGAGTGCCACCAGATCCATAATTTGGGTTGGCTGAGTGTCTGAGTCATCCTAAGCAAGCACTTTTTAAGGAAAAGAGGAAAGGTCTGACGAGGCAAACTATGGCTCAGATGCTCCAATCCTGAATGAGTCCAAAGAGCCACAACGATAGGGCACTCCCAAAAGAGGTGTTCCATCATTTTATATTCCGCCCAACACACTGGACAGCAAGGAAAAATCTGGACCCTTTTCTCAAGTAAAGATTCAGTCGTAGGCAGAATACAGTGGAAAATTTTCCATAGGAATAATCTTAATTTAGGCAGGATCGGAAGCTCCCACAGTCTCATCCCACTCTACCTATCCATCCAGCTTACCATGGGTCGCCACGCCCCTACTTGTCTATCCGTAAAAACAGCCATATGGTAGGCAGACTTGACAGTGAAGAGTCCATCACATGTATCATGCCATACTAGTTTATCCTCTATACCCAGGCGGGGCAAAGGAATTTCCATGATGGCACACATTATATCCCGTGGAAACATCTGCTAGAGTGACTGACGACACCACCCTCCCCACCAGCAGTTATGAGCTCGACTACCTTCGGGTCATTGCCCTCCGATATGACACGAGGATTAACCAGAGGAGAGTGAGGATGGGTATATGGGACCCATATGGAGTGTTGTATAGAGGCCTGGAGCCTATCAACAATCTGCCACCGAAGTCCTCGTTGGAGGAGTAGGCGGACATGGAGAATACTGTGCCATCCCCACGAAGGACGAGACCGTGCAGTCATTGTTAGGAAAGTACCATGCGGAAAGTATTTGCCTTTATATATCTTGGCCAAGACAGAGTGAGGTTCAGTAAGTATACGCCATCCGGTCTTCGCCAGGAGAGTTTGATTAAAATGCTCAAACTGTCGAAATCCCATCCCCCATCATGTTTACTTGTGCACATATCTCGCAATGTGATCCACCTAACACGAGGGTGACCCCCTTCCACCCCCACCAGAATCTAGCTATGTGTTTATCCAGTATACGACAAAGTGAAAGAGGGATTTTAAAACATGACATAACATGGAGCGGTAAAGAGAACGCGATTGATTTAATCAACGTCTCCTTAGCCTCCCATGAGAGCACCTTTTGCTTCCACCCCTATAGTCGTTCCAACAACTTCTCTTCCAAATAACGGAAAGTAGCAATCTTGAATTGAGCAATCAAAGTATGTAAACCCAAGTATTTATCATGTACTCCGACTGCTCCAACAACAATCCGGGGGGCAACGATTTCTTGATCCACATGCAAAATATTCTTACTAAAGCACACTGCGGA